CGAGTAGCTGGGACTACAGGCATGCGCCACCATGCCCGGCTAATTTTTTCTATATATTTTTATTGTCTGGCTAATTTCTTTCTATTTATAGTAGAGACGGGGTCTCGCTCTTGCTCACCTGGTCTCAAACTCCTGACCTCAAACAATCCACCTGCCTCGGCCTCCCACAGTGCTAGGATTACAGGCGTAAGCCCCTTTCTAGCCTTTAAAAAACTAATGTTAAAAAAGAAAACAAAAGCAACACAAATAAATAAAAAGAAAAAATAACACAGGAACGTTCTTATGCGCATCTCAGAGATGCTGCAGAGTCTGGTTCAAGGCCTTTCCTGTTTCTCCAAACCTTTGCTCTACAGGCCTCAGAACTGGGTTCCCAGGAAGCTAGCTTGGGAAAGCCTGCGTTTCCCAGGGATGTGACATACTGAGCATGTCGTGGGGTGGCGCGTGTTTGTGACTGTCGCACTTTCCCACAGGGCTTAGTGGGTGGCTTCCTGCAAGGATTCCTGAAGAAAGCAAGTGACATGAAACTCCAGTGAGGTTTGTAGTCTCTGGTTCTCTTGGGTTTTTTTTTTAACCTTTGTTCTGGAAGGCATTCATGGAGGGTTTTTTATTTTATTTTATTAGGCTATTCTTTTTTGATCTTCGTTGGGTGTATGGGCTTTCGTAGATTTTGTTTTGTCGATAACAACTTCACACTTCTCAGGAGAAGTTCTCTGAGTGTCTGTGTCATCATGGGCAAGCCAGTCCCTAATCTGGACTTGAATTTCTCCATCCAGTAAAACACAGACAAAAAGTGGGGGGCACCTTCGAACCAACTCCCCTCCCAGCCCTGACGTTCCCAGGCGACGAACCTGCGGGACGTTTTCCTGTCTTTGCACAAAGCGGGAAGTGAGTGAGCGGGGCTTTTCCTAAGCTGCCGCGCGGCCCAGGGTGGCTGCGCCCTGATACCCGAGCTGCCTGTGGGTTTTCTAACTAGATAAGTTTTGTTGTAGTGTGGAGGGCGTGAACAGACCACAGGAGAATTTAATGAAGCCAAATTGAGAGTCTTTATTAGCTGGCCAGCGACCACCTCCGCCCGCATAAAAGCAGTACGAGAGGATGGCCCCATATCAAGTTTCTACGAGGGTTTTATACTATTTTTGAGGGAGGCTACGTGACATAGGGCAGGTGTTCAGGGAACAAAAGCGGGGAGCAAAGTCTGGGTTGCAAGATACAAGGTCACTGGACATAATTGCCCTCATAGATCTCTGGCGCCCGAAGGCAGATTACAATCCTCAAAGCAAGCTGCAAGCAGGGTTACAGAAGCGGATGGCAGTTATTAGACAAAAGACTATTTTTTTAGTGTAACACTTTAACTATGTAGCTATAATTTAGCCAGCCCCTGGCGTACCGCTTATTTTATTTATTAACCCCTTATTATAAAGCTCTCAGCTCACCACAGTTTCTGGAGACTCCCCCCATCGGTCTCACTGAGGTGTGACTTAGCTGCGCTGAAATCCACCCCTCGTGGCGCACGGCTCTGGGTTCCGGCGAACACAGCTGCTGAGCAGCCACCAGCACCGCGGCTCCAGTAAGTTCCCTCCGGCCCTTTGCGGCCAGTTCCTCCCCAACCCCTGGCGACCACTGACCTGTGCTTTGTCCCCTGTCAACTTGATCTTTTTCAGTAGAGTGAAAAGTCCAGACGCGGCCCCCCGAGCCATGGCCGGCCCGAGGCGCGGCCGACCCCGCTGCGTGCGGGCGGCGTTCGGTGCGGCCAGGGCCAGCTTCCGGAAGAGGCAGAGGAACACGCGCTGTCACTTCAAGGTGCCGTCCTGCCCACCGCCCGTTCCCTCTTAGTGGACACGTGGCAGGCCGGGTGGGTGGGCGGCCCGGAGCGGACCCTGGCCTGGGCTGGGCCCTCGCTGGAAAGTTCGTCCAGCGGTTCTCGGTTCATCTGTGAAGATGCCTTTTCTCTTCCCGAAACCAGAGGCGCTGAAATTCCAGTGCTTTGAGACTCTCGATTGAGAAAGAAAGGAAACGGTTGCTTTCCTCAGCAGCCTGGGTTTAGCAGGAGGGTTCCAGAACATCTGATGCTAGACCCCGAACACGGCTGGGCCCTCCCTGGCCCTCAGCCTCTGTGTCTGTGGAGGATCTAGTACCTTCCATGATCTTCCGGCTTTGGGTCCAGAATGAGTGGCAGGGGCCGTGTGGGATCCGTGGGCCGTTCCTGTCCCCTGATGAGCCCGCTCGTCAGGCCGCTGGTCTCCTCGCCGCCTTCCTGGCTCTGCCCTTCCCCTTTGCGGTGGCCCCGGTTTGTGTTTGTCCCTCCGACAAAACCCTCGCGGGGGGTTCCCACCTCTGCTCGGGCTCCCGGGAGGTGCTTTCATCTTGTCTGCTCCCCCTTGCCAGGGCCACCGTCCTCTGAGTGTCTGGCGTGGCGGGAACCACTGGCGCGGGCGCCCCGAGTCCCCTGCCTGTGAGCGGCACGCCGCCGTCCGCCGCCTTGGTGGACGGGCGCACCCACCCAGCTTGCTTTTTTCCAGCTCAGTCACAAAAAGAATCACATGGACTTTGCCGAAGGGATCTGGAGAGAGGTACGTTATAGGGCGGGCCAGCAGCCGCTGTCGTTCAGAGAGTTTTTACCTTTTTTTTTTGGGAATAAATAACAGTGTCAACTGTCTAAAGGGGAAGTGAGGTTTTCGCCGCCCCAGTGCAATGCGGGGTGCGGGCGGGCTCTCACCACGTGGTGTCCGGGCGCACTGGAGCCCCGCGTTCACCGAGGAGGGCGGGCAGCAGCGTGCGCGTCGGAAGCGAACACTGAGAACCGCACTGCCCGACCTGACTGGTCAGCGGGTCTTCCCGGGGGCAGGGACCTCGTAGCATGTCCGCAGGGAGGCCGCGCAGCCCTGGAAGCTCGCAGAAGCGCAGTTTGCTGCTGTTAAGGAAATGGCGTTGGTGTAGCAAGTGTCCAGATTGCCCCGGGGGACTGTGAGCTCAAATAAAATCTTAAGGTTCAGCCCTCACGGGCTGACTGAATGGACCCCTTCTTGGCCAAGGGGATGTCCTAAAACTAAATTGCCTGCCAGGGGGCAGGAGGCCAGACGTGCCTCATCATGCCCCCTTCCCCCTTAGGGACATCCTTTGTAACCCATTAACAGGCCTAAGGGGTGTGCAGGTCCTCAATTTACACAACAAACCTATGTCCGGTGGCTTGTCTCTGATAAACAGCTCCTTATGTTAAAACATTCCAGGCCTTTCCACAAAGCTTCGTGTCTTTAACCAATTACAGTCAAAGACTCTTTAAACCCACCTATAGCCTGTAAGCCCCCTGCTTCCAGATGGCCCACCTTTCCGGGCCAAACCAATGTATGCCTCCCACGTGTTGATTTATGACTTTACCTGTGACCCCCGTCTCCCTGAAATGTATAAAACCAAACTGTGACCCAGCCACAGCGAGTCCACTGCTCTCAGCTTCTTCCGTGTGGCCCAGATCGCGGTCCTCAAATCTGGCTCAGAGTAAATCTCTCTAAAATTATTTTACAGAGTTTGGCTTTTTTTCTGTTAACAGGACTTAGATTTGCTCTGGAGACCTTTACTGCTAGAGCCGCTGGGTCCAGGGCTTTGCAGCACAAGGCTCCGGCTGGGTGCCCAGGATGAGGGACTCCAGGCGTTTTGGGGTGCTGTGGAATGTTGATCTAGTGCATGAAAGCAGTTGGTTTGCGAGGCAGATCGGGCCACATCCGGCACCATCAGCACGGGGAGAACGTGCACACGAGCGTGTTGTACGTTATCCCACTGCCGGAAATTGCTCACGGCTCAGGAGCTCTTTGTCGTCAGCTTTTAGATCCTTACGATGGTGATTCAGAAGACGCCCCCAGGCATTCCCACCACAGCTTCAACGACTGTCCTCTCGGTGACGTGAGCTGGAACGCTGCTTCATACACGCTGAAGTCAAGGAGTCCAAAGGAAGTTAATCTAGAAGGCTCTCTGTCATCAAAAATTCCAGACCTTGTCATCAAAGCTGCCAGCTGGGTCCCTGAGTCCCTGGACGCCAACGATGTGGACATGCAGCCCGAGGACTTGAGAGCCACGGAGGAAGACTGGGCGCCCCAGACACCTGAGCCCCTCCTTGCTCCCGTGGAGCCCCCCGAGCCCTGCAGACAGGGCCCTGGCCGAGCCAGGGGGGCATGGCCGCCACCCAGACTCGGGAGTGACAGGGACAAGGGGCCCAAACTCTCACTCTCCAAGAGAAAACTGGAGCTTTTACTTGCAGAGCCTGAAAAAAACAAGAGAAAGAAGCAGCTTGTGGCCTAATCCAAGGTGAGCGGGTTCCGTTCGGGATGGGGTCTGAGCCACGAGGGGAGCAGGGACTCAGCTGCTCACAGCTCATGTTGGTGAACACAAAGGAAAGGTTTTCAGTGGAACACGTGACCCCATTTATATCTTTTTTTTGAGACGGAGTCTGGCTCTGTCACCCAGGCTAGAGTGTAGTGGTGGCGTCATAGCTCACAGCAACCTCAAACTCCTGGGCTCAAGCGATCCTCCTGCCTCAGCCTCCTGAGTAGCTGGGACTACAGGCATGCATCATGACGCCTGGCTAATTTTTCTATTTTTAGTAGATATGGGGTCTTGCTCTTGCTCAGGCTGGCCTCGAACTCCTGGCCTCAATCGATCCTCCTGCCCCGGCCTCCCAGAGTGCTGGGATTACAGGCGTGAGCCACCGCACCCAGGCTGTATGCCTTAATAATAAACAAGGACTCACCACCGAGCGTGAAATGGGTTTCCAATTCAGGGCAGGGCCTGTGTGGCCCTCAGTGACCCCACCTCCCCTGAATCCCAGAGAATTTCTTTACTTTTACTACATATTTACATAACCTTAAACTAGTGATTTTTTCGGGAACTCTGACCCCTGGGGTGGGGTTGTTCTCCAACTTGTTGCCATGACCTTTGTACCCACGCCTTACACAGCCACCCCGGAGGGGTCCAGCTGAACCCACAAGGAAGGCACCGGAGGGGAGCTCTGCCCTGGCCCGGCCAGCGTGGAGACGTGGGCAGGGCGGGCCTGGCCGGCCTCCCCACCCGCAGCCGATCCTCGGTGTGCGAAGCTTCCTCCCACCGTATCCTTATTTATAGTCCTCGTTCATACTGTTTACGAGGCAAAGATCTGAGCAGTTCGTTTTGGCTCAGTCTATCAGGGTGGTCATGGTCTCAGCATAGCAACGCCTAAATATATCGGGGTGGCGGCAGCTCTCACTTTCATCCCATTTCCGTGGGTCTGTTCCCTGAGCTTCGACTTACTCCCCAGCAGGCGAGAGCAGAGAGCAAGGCTGGTGCCCACGCTGGGCGGTTCGCGTCGCCCCGAGTCCGGAGCCCCGGCCAGTCCCCGGCCCACGCTGTTCCTGAGTGCCAATAAAAGGGACGTCCCCGCAAGGAGCTGCTCGTTCATCTTGGCGGATTGGAGGTGGGGACCCGGCCGGTGCTGTTCAGGGCGCCGAATGCCCCTCAGATGCCCCTTTGTGCCCAGACGCCACCGCCAGCTCTGCCAGGCGAGGGTGAGTAGGGCGGCGGCGGCCTCCCTGCTGGCCCCTCCTGACACAGGTCAAGGAGGTGCCGTCCCGGGGGGAGGCCCTGCTATGGGGGCGGGCGAGCCTATTGCTCCCGGGGTGCCCCTGTGGCCCCTGTGGGACAAGCTCTGCGTGAGGCCCTGGGCCCCAGGTGCTGTCTGGCGGGGCGTTAGGTTGAGGCAGCAAGGAAAAGCCTCAGGTGCTCCTGGTGGCCGCCATGGAAGTCCTCACCTTGGGGGAAGCCTGGCGTCTGGCGGCCATGGATGCTTCTGCCCACTGGCCTTGGGCCGGAGCCGACTCCTCCGTTTCAGGCGCTCGCTCCCTCCCAGACGGGCCTTGGGGTTCATAGGACGCGCCCTGGAGTCCTCATTCTGCCCTGATGTGAGCCCCTGTGCCCCGGACCCTCCCCTGGAGATGGGGTGGGGTGGAAGGCTCGGGTGAGAACACGTTCGCGTGGTGAGGTCTGTGGGCACGCTCTGCTCGGGGGCAGCTTCGCTCGTGGAGATGACGAGAATCCTTATTTATGTTTACTGCTTCAGAGAGAGGCAGTTCAAAAGGCAGCCTAATTCTCAATCCAATCCAGCACTGGGCTGCAATCAAGCCGCCAGGGACCCCGACGCTGAGTTCCAGAGCCAGGCGGGGAGGAGGCCCTGACGCTAGTCTGGCAGCTCCACGGAGACCATCTGAGGAGGGGGTGGGGCTCAGTCACTCTGCTGGTGACACTCGCACATGGTGGGGACCGTGGCAGCCCTTCAGGGCCTATCCGCAGCCGACCCTAGGAGCGCCGGAAGGACCGGAAACCTGTTTCCACAGGTAGGCCGCCCCCTCACCCGCCACCGTGAATGGGAGAGTAAGCAGCCCGCCTCGTGGGCCTCTCTCGCTGCCGTTCTAGGGTCGAGCGGGAAGGAACGGGCCAGGGTGGAGCCGGCCACCCACCCTTGACTGTGGAACAGAAACCACCGAGAGGCTGTGCCCTGGCCAACAGCGCCAGCGGCTCGGGTCAGGAATGATAATTACGCAGCCGGGATAGCCCAGAGCTTTTCCAGCACACCCGGCTGTTTCTCCAAGAAGGGGTCCTTGATTCACGGCCACTGTGGTCACCCTGGAGCGGGGCTCGCTCTGTGCCCCAAGGGCTCGCGACGACGGAGAGGAGGGCTGGGGCACAGCGGCGGCCTGGCTGCACCCGCCCGTTCCAGAGGGCCCAGCACCCCGAGACTACAGCTGACAGAAGAGGCAGGAGCCAGGTCATGCTTAGTGTTTTATTTCATAAAACAAGCCATGCTATCGACCCTCTAAAAACACCTACTTGGATCTTTCCAATGGCCACCATTCCCAACCGTCAGATTCCATTCGGTTTCCGCCACCCTCAAGCCAACTACTTTCTTTTCACAAGTTCATACCTTCCAAATGTTTAATATGAATAAATGTTAAATACTGACTTTTACTATTACAGCAAGGGGAAGCTAGAAAAGTTCAGTTTTACTCTGTGCACAAGACCGCGACGCCACGCTCGTAGAAGCTGCGAGGATCTTCCTTTGTAGCAATTTCAAAGTCGACGGTGAAGATAAGGTCTGCGCGGGTGAAGTTCAGGTAGACAGGTAAGGTCACCTGCAAGACAAGCAGCAGAGGGGCTGACACAGAGGAAGTGGCTGCTTTTACGACGTGGATTCCCTGTTACGAGCAGAACTCCAGGTGCGGAAGCGGGGAGACGACTCGCCCACTACCAGGGTCCCGCAGCCCCGCCCCTGACCGCAGGGCCGGCACTCACCACGCTGGCCTTTTTCTCCGCGTTCGTTTGTTTGACCCAGCGCAGCTGAGTCAGGGGGAGCACGGTGGAGATGGCGCTGGACAGGGACAGCTTGTTGTTGGTGCAGGTGGCTCCCTGCAGCTTCAAACCTGGGAGGCAGAAGTCAAAGCCAGTCTGAAGTGAACACAGCAGCTACACAGACCCCTGGTCACAGGGCTCACAGGCAAACCGGACAGCTCTACCGCTCACCAGCCGGTCACCTGAAACACGTTCGCTGGGGAACATCGTCTCAGACAACCAAAGTCTCCCCGAGCGAGCAGGCTGGCCAAGCGGGAGGCCCAGTGCAGGGAAGGTGAACTGCAGAGACGAGCCACTGTCTTCTGTGAAGCGCCAACTCACCTGTGACCCCGAAGCTGCAGGCATCCAGGGTGGCACTCTGTGAGGTGGTGACGTTGACTTCCAGGCAGAGCTCCTCCAGGGACCAGCTGTTGGCCTGGGCCACGTACTGCCTGGTGGCAGTGATGTACGCCTCGGGCACGAACAGGCCACCCAGGCACACGTGGATGTTCTGTGGGAAGCAGCAGCCCCCGCGGAGGCAGCTCGGGTCAGACCTAGTCCCCGTGCTGTTCCCGCCTGCCCCACCCAAGCCCGGACAGCTGCTGACCACCCCGGGCTTCTCAGGACCGTCTTTCACCACCTTTAGCTCCTTGGCACCGCCAGACGCAGCCGCCAGTGAGATGTTCTGCAGCTGTTTGATCCGCTCACTGAAGTCGGACACCCACTGGATGACGGTCATGCCAGCAGGCACCGTGTAGTGGGACCAGCTCCGAGGCAAGATCCCTGCAAACAAGGCACAGAGCCCCCAGGCCCGGCGTAAGTCCTGACGACCCCCCCAGTGTAGACGGGGGTCAACATGCGAGTGTCCATCACCGCAAGCCACGCCCACAGGGGTGAGGCCCTGGTGCTCTGCCCGCCTCCCCTCCCCAGCTGGCCAGAGCGCGTTTCAGTACAGTGCAGTTTCTAGGGTCAAGTTAGCCTGCGCGTGTGTGTGTGTGGAGGACCATGATCACGTCCAAGTAGAACCACACTGAAAAACTCACATCACACGAGCAGCTTGGTGTTCCTGGCAACCTGGGCTCTTGGGACGCACGGGAGGACCCCCAGGGCTCCCCGCACCTTTGGACTCAGCCCCTCCCTCCCCACCTCCCCTGTCCGGGTCCGCGCCTGCTCTCCACGGGCCGACACACCACCAGGCCTCACTGGGCAAGGCCACCACGCTGCCCAGTCACTGTCTTGGGAGACCCTCAGCAATCACAGAACTTGCATAACAATTTTCGTCAGCGTTCAGTGAACCGGCAGAGAAGGAAACGGAAGTCTAGGCCCCTCCCCACACCCTGAGGTGAGAGCACTGAGCTGCTCTCGGGGAAGCTGGCCCAGAAGGAAACTGCGGTGAGGCCTGGCCGTCACCACGCGGTGGCCTTCTCTAGGCCAAGGCCCCGGTGAAGTCCTGACCCCACTGGCCTGAGCTCCCAGGCACCCAACTTCTAAAGCACCTTTCACCAGTTCGTTGATAAGTGTACGCAAGTAGTTGGTCTGTTTTTTCTTTCCTTCACACACTTGGACGACGTCCGCGAGATCCTGGCGCACATCCTGAAGCAGTTTAGCGCCCATCTTCACTTCTCGCTCAAAGAACCTGAACAGAGGATCCTGGAACCGTTCAAAGAGAAAGAAGGGCAGAGTGAAGGGTGAGAATTAAGGAAGAGGTCCCTTCTTCAGCAGTAAGTCAGCCTTTGGGGAGAGCCCCAGAGTCCCTAACAGCTTCCCTGAGCCGATCCCACCAGACCTCGTGTGGAACGGCGCTGCTCACCAGCCCCTGCGGCCCTGCCGAGCAAGGCTCCCACTGCTTCCTTCTGGACTCACACCAACCTCGCAGGAGACAGACAACCTTCCAGCATTTTTGACCAGTTTACAAAGTGCCAGCCCATCTGCTCCACGCCTGGGCC